CTTGGAGTGCTCGGGAGCTACCGAGTAAATCATCAAACCCAAACTTTTCACCAGCAGTTACTGAGTTCTCGCCTCTCTCCTCCATACCCGACACTGCAGGGTGGCAATGGAAGACGCCAAGGCACTCAAAACTTGGAGTTTCCACCGAAACTTGGGAGTTTGGGTGGTTGTGGGACCTTAAACGTGGGTAACTTTGAGTCACCAACCTAAAACCGGTGGCTGTGCTGGACCTCCCTGCCTCTCGCTTCTTCACCTAGGAGTGGGGACAACACTGTTCTCTCTCTTGGCAGAAAAACATCATGCAGACCCACAACCTTTTACGCAGATATAGGCAAGCGGAGGTCAGGGGAGAACTTGGGTGTTAGAGCACTAAACACCATAGGAAAGCCCAGCAGTAATTATTAATTCCATTTTCAAGCACGGTTTGAATACAGCTCAGCAAACGAAGCGCTGAAGAATGAGGGTAAGATAAAATATTGACTAGCTGCTCCATCATTGTCTGGTCTGTGCCCTAGATAGCGCAAGGGTATTTTATTATAATAACAAAAAAAAAAAAAAAAAAAAAAAAGGCAGAATGGAAATACCTACTAAAAGGCTGAAGCTTTAAGGATCCGAATTTTCAAACTTATTTTTGAAGGTCATTTTAATGCAGTTGTACACAACTCTATTTAGAGGGATCGTCGCATATAGACATGCACATATAGAGAGGTTTACAGGTGCGTTATTCTACAAATACACAGACATTTATCTGTGTAGACCGAGACTTTCCCGAAACAGAAACAAGCATCTGACACCTAACACAGCCCTTGATGAGAACTGCTCGCTCTTCTCCGTAGAGTACCGCCAGTAATTATTTACCGTTAGTTCTTAACGGGAAGAGATTCAGCTGGGATGTAGCAAACAAGCAAACCGTATAGATTGTTCGATACAGCCCGTCTGACTCTCCCCAGAGTTAAGAAGCCATTGGATCACACCTCCTGGATACTTCAATCACAGTTTTTATCACTGGGGAAAAGCACTTTATTAACCTGGACTTGGTCAGGACCCTTCAGGACCCTTCCACCATATAGGCAACGCTCTCAAGATCACACAAGTGCCCCTTCTAGCTTCCTTCCAACCCTCAACTGCTACGGGGTTGAATGACTAAGAGGATGGAGACTTGAAGGGTTCGACGACATCCTGAACTCTGCTACCTTCCTACCTGCCACGGGTTCCCTCTTCCCACCATGGAAACATCCCACCATAGCAAAAAGATGGTCGTAAAAGGCAACGCTGCTGATTCGCAAGCAAAATCGTTGCGTGTTGGTGGGGGGAAAAAAAAATAATCCTCCCCGTGGATTATTTCATTACTTAAAAAAAAAAATAATGAAACAACCCAAGGAAAAGGGTCAAGTTAAAACTGTGGTATTTTGGAGGACATGTGCCCTACCACTGCTACGTTTTCTGGCACGTCTCACTTCATCACCCCGTTCCTGTGACTCCTCCATCATCAATAGGAGTTGTGTGTGTCAACCCGGGGAGCTCGAACACCGGGCAGCCCCTCTGTGAAAAGCACCATTTTTTTCCCCGTTACGGCAGCGAACCGAAATATGCAACTCGCACGTCCTGCGAAGGCATTCAAAATATGACAAAAAAAAAAAAAAAAATTGTTCAAATGCTTTCAATCTGCGGAAAACAAATGCTCTCTTCACTGACTGCTCTGTGGCAAACTTCTAATTCCATCCAGAAAATCCAGCATTCCCAGTCTGGGCTAACGACCATGCTACCAGACATGAGTTTATGTTTTTCATGCACATTTCATGTATTCCCACACGCTGTGTTGCTGCCAATAATTTATGACTGATCTGCACCCAGCCTGCCCTTCAGCATTTTATTTAATCTCTGCAACAGTGATTTACAATGACTCATCATTAATACAAAAATGTACATGTGTGTTAACAAGTTGGGAAGAATCTAAGGAGGAAAGGCGAAATTTTTTCGCGAGTCGTGGCTGAATGACTTATGAGCCCGCCGAAAAAAATAAAGGCAAAGCTACCCAGGAACGATACCTCAGCTCTTCCCTGCAGCAAAATATTTAGGCAAGAAGAGAAAAGGGATTCAACAAAAGGTTGGGAAAGGGTTGGCCCCGTACCACCCCCCCTCCCAGGATTCGGGAGGGGATGGAGCAGCTCGTCGGTCATCCCGTGGCTGGATGTTTCGGAAGGATTCCTGCCTCCTCCTCCTTCTCCTTCCTCAGCACCCCTTACAAAAAGCAGGGGCCGAATTACCCTATTTTGGCATCTCTGCCCACCAGCTGGGCTTTAAGAAAGCCCTGACAGGCTCTCTAGTCTTAAATCTCCGTGGGGTTGGGGAGGGAAGGGGAATCATCTCAATAATTTATACAATTGTAACACTACGGCAGAATTACCCAACTAGCTCAAGCAGAGGAAGCCTGCCCTACATCCACAAGATTTCAGTTATAATGTCTTTTGACCTACTTTTTTTTCCTTTCTTTTTTTTTTTTTCTTGCGCGTAAGGAACTTAGAAAAACACATCTCCCACCAAGCCAAAGTAAAAAAACCCTCAAAAACCCCACCTGAAGTACTGCATCCAGCTCTGGAGCCCCCAACATAGGAAAGATGTGGACCTGTTGGAGCAGGTCCAGAGGAGGACACGAAGATGCTGGGAGGGCTGGAGCCCCTCTGCTGGGAGGACAGGCTGGGAGAGTTGGGGTTGTTCAGCCTCGAGAAGAGAAGGCTCCGGGGAGACCTTAGAGCCCCTTCCAGTGCCTAAAGGGGCTCCAGGAAAGCTGGGGAGGGACTCCTGATCAGGGAATGGAGCCACAGGATGAGGGGGAACGGTTTTAAACTGAAAGAGGGGAGATTTAGATTAGATATTGGGAAGAAATTCTTTCCTGTGAGGGTGGTGAGCCCCTGGGGCAGGTTGCCCAGAGAAGCTGTGGCTGCCCCATCCCTGGAGGTGTCCAAGGCCAGGTTGGACGGGGCTTGGAGCAACCTGGGCTGGTGGGAGGTGTCCCTGCCCATGGCAGGGGGGTGGAACTGGATGGTCTTCAAGATCCCTTCCAACCCCAACCATTCTATGATTCTATAAATCCGAGGCCAGATGAGTACTGAAAAACACCCCAGAAAGTCACTCGAGAGAAATCCCACCAGCTTTAGTTCAAAGCATCCCACGTTCATCATCTCGAAAAAGTTCTTTGATGGACCATCCTACACAGCCACAGTCGCCCACGCCGAATCCTACGCTCCCAGACCCCTCCAAAGCAGCACACCCGCTCGCTCTACCCATGGTTAGATAAGACCCCTGACGCACATCTCACAGCTTCTCAACTGGCCAAAGCGCCTTATCATTAAACTGAAGGACACCCATACAATTCAGGGTATCGCCTGGGTGAAGGTTGGAGAACGTAAGGCTGAAGCAAACCCTAATTTTTCCTGGCTGAGCCAAAATACCGCAGGTTGCGTTTCCTCAGAACACGTATTTTACATTTAGCGCCTCTTATTCCTCCGTTTTAAAGTTAAGTATCTTGGAAGCATACTTCACATACGCTAAGTATTCGGCATTTTCCTTTATTCAGTGTCTTAAAGGGCTTCAAAAAATTGATCTCCCAGGGCTGCTGGGGGGTCACAGAAATTGATAACCCTGACAAGCTATGCTTATGTGAGCCCGCCTGCGTCTCCCAGATAGTGCACTTTGTAAATTAATCCTCCAAAGGCAAATATATTGTAAGTAGCTTGTTATCTCTAAAGTACTAAATTGAAGAATACACGGGATTATATTGACAGAAATTACATTTTCTGTAATGGGGTTTAATATATCTGAAATCTCTCCCATAGGCTCCTACTCTCTCTAAGAGAGGAGGGTTTGTTAATGTAGGTGCAATGGGCATCAAGACCAAATTTATTCACTAAAATGGATTAGGCCATGTAATCAGAGCTTCAGTAATATTAATCTCTGACACTTATCGAACGGAAAAAAAAATAAAATACTTTTGTCTGCAAACTGGCATTCCTCCCTCCCTTTTCCCCAGCAGGCTCCCTGTTTGCCTTGGCCATTTTCTGGGTATTACTTCAAAGAGGATAAGGTTTCCCATCATAAACACTAATCGAAAAATATTAGGACAATTAATTAGATACACTTAGTTTTACAAGGTATTAGATTGCAATACACTTCAAATATGACACTCGTTCTGGGATAGCGGGAGAAACCTGCATTTGGATGCAGTAACAAAAGGTAATAAATCAAACTTTTTTTTTTTAAGGGTTCGCTCGTATTTTCATACTTAAATCACAAGTAATTTTCACTGGTTGCCTTCACCACGTCCCGGACAGTTAGCAATCCACTGCAGAGACAGCACGGATCCTGATTTCCTTCAAATAAATCCAGAGCTACACCAGAGCAGGGGCTCCAGCAACCCTTCGCTGGAATAAATAAATAAAATTGCTCCGCACCGTACTTCGGCGGCAAAAAACCAGCCTGCCCTCAAAAGTTTATTCAAACTTTCAAAACCCGGACTTTTAAAACAAACCGGTAAAGAGACAGAAGGATGTCAGTCAAAAAAGAAAACCCCCGCTAACAACATTAAAAAAAAAAAGCAAGCGTGACAGCAGCCCAAAATAACATTACGCTCTGCAGAAACGGAGCCAATCGCCCCCTTTTTTCACTCGACATCTCAACCTGTTCCATGACCAAAGTTCTCAACGTGGATGTGGCTTCTTATTGAAGACGACACATCCTCAGCCAGAAGGAGGACCGGTACCCAAAAGCGAACGCACCGCTACCTGCCCGAGCCACGGGAAAATAAATAGGGCTCCTTTTCTGCCGTAGCAAACCTCCTCATTCCCATAATTGAAACCACTCGCCCGGCTAGATGCCTTTCGCGTCGATAAACTGCCGAGAGGGGGGAGCGGAACAAAAAAGCAAGGTGTGTCCTCAAAAACGCAAAGCGTGAGGCGGAGGGTGCCGGCGGCCGTATAGAAACGCGAAGGAAAATTACTTACCAATTGTTCACTTGAAGTATAGTGAGCCCCGTGTCTTGTGCCAACTGCTTTTTCTGTTCTTCTGAAGGGTAAGGGTGCTACAAGACACCAAAAGAAATACATACGTTGAAAACAATGCTCTTTTGTGGGGCGTATTTTTTATTTTAAATTAAAAAAAACCCAAAGAAAAACGCGCGCGCGCACGCGCACACACAAAACCAAACCCAAATCAAAAAAAAAAGAAGCGTGACATCTATTATCGAAAGGTGAAAATACTGAGGTGTGTCACTCTTTTATAATTATTAATGGGCTACTACATCACTTAATTAATGGTGGTAAGAGACAAGCCAATTATAAAGATTAGTGAAGTGGAGAAATAACTGCTTAGGATACTGGCAGTACCTCGATACTCCAGAAGGATATTTGTTGCATTAGCCGAAAGTTTTTGCACTTGTCTGAAGTGACCGATTAGAGTCAAATCACAGCTTTCCTTTTCTTTTTTTTGCCCCCCTTTGTATTTCACGGAACAATTAATGAACGTGATAAAGCGCTCCTCTGTCCAACTAAACCGCGCCGATGTTTTCTGAGATAGCGAAGACAAACCTTGCCCGCGCCCCAAAATAATTTGCAAATAAGATCAGCATCCTGAACGTAAACAAACGCCCGGGTTTTTGAACACAGGCCAACGCGAGGTCAACGATCAGCACATTTTTGCCTGACATTAACATAGCTGTGCTGCACTAATCCTAAGAGACAGAAAATAAATACTGGTTTAATTGAAGATAATGTTAAAATTCAATCACAAGCGAAGTTTCTTGTGAGAACTTGATTGCTTTCTCAGAAAATTCGCTTCTGCGTGAATACAGACTGCTTCATAAATCCACGCAGCGAAAACCGCATTCCAAGTTTAAAATTTAGAAATAATTGCTCCTGTCCTTTCCCTCCGTGTAAAAACGTCACTGTCCCAAAAGGAAACGGCCAAACATTGCGGACGTAACAATTCCCAAGAAAAAACCCGTTTTGAGGATCCGGCTTGGCTCCTAACCCAGAAAACCCAAATCCCAGTTATACATCAGATACAGGCCCGGTCTGCTGCAAAGTACTTAATCACATTCCAATAAAGATAATTCGCTATAAGTGGTTAGTCCTACCCCAACATCCCATTTAGCAGCTGGTCGTCACAAAATATTTGCTGTTATACACACATCCCTTCTTTTTTTTTTTTGTTCCCCCCCGCCCCCCATATTCTTCGGATGTATTCGGCGTAGTATTACACAAGATGTAAACCGAAACCTTGTAAAGCGTAAGAATTTAAAACCTCGTAAAATTCTGCAATCTTATTGGTACCGTAACTATTTAGCAGATTTTATATACTCTTGTAAACAGCATAATCTGACATCTAATGGCTGTGCTCCACGCCTGCCTCACCGCCCTTTACCAAATAGGAATTTTCGTTGCAACTGCGGCAACTTGCCTTCGCCCAACGTGCCCCGTTTCAAAACCCACCGCCGCGGCCATCAGCTCCAAAAGATACAGGTTTCCCCCCCAAAAAAATGAAGGGGAAACTTCCCTTTTCTTTGAAAAACACTGTTGCTCGATGGTACGCCCGCAGATAACCTGCACACCTGTAAACATCCCCGTGTATTTTCTGCACATACCTGGAACTGCTCCAGAATTACAAAGTGGGAGACACTGGGAAGGGGATTTTACTTCTTTATTTATGGGGAAATTGCATTTTACCCATGCAAAAATATAGCATGAGTTTTATAGTCCGCCTTAGATAGATGTTCGTCCACAACAAAGTCGTACTTGACTTACGTCCATCGATGTGAACGCAACATTTTGCTTCTCTTCAAAAAAAAACCCCACACCCTACAGAGATGATTTGCAACATTTTCATCTTTATGGCTTGCTTCCCATTTCATTACTTTTTGCCATCAAGCGAGGACAAAATTCTCCTTTTTTTTTTTTTTCTTCTTATTTCGCTTTGCCACCTTACATGTGATCTAATTTTAAGTAATTGAACAAACTGTGTCTAATTTCATGCAGCAAGCAATAATTACTAGACAGCCTCTAGCTATTGGAATTGAGAACTCTGTCTCCATTAAGCAATTTTCAATTGTTCTGGACTTTTTTCCAAACAGACAAGACTGGATAAAATTAGCCATCAGAATAATACAGTCACTGTAGAAATAATTGCTTTAAAAGTCCCAAACCCCAAATTCCTCAAATTGTGGTATGTTTAAGGTCATCTGATTAGATTTTTGTGGGTTTTTTTTTCACAGCCTCGCACAGCATAAACTTTTAATTTCGTGATAAATCTATAATTGCCGTCATCACATGACAGCCGGGACTTCACGTAGCTAATCCCTCTTAGCCAAAGGTTCACAACGCGGCAGGCTTTTTAGCTACGACTCGGTACGGTTTAAAAGAATCTGCTGGGCATCCTTGTTATATAAAGCTTTCCGCGGCTCGTAGGAGTTGTTCCTTTGTAGGCTAAGGAAAAAAAAAATATACCAAAAAATAAAAAATAAAAATGACTTCACAAGGAATCAGCATGCCACAGGGAGAAAGGGGGAAACCCCGGGAACTGGCATTTTATGAAGAAATTCAGGCGGAACTGGGGCTCTCGGTCTTCCTTTCACCCACGCGAGAAGGAAAGGTGCCTTCCAAAAGCTTTCCAGTGGTTGTTGGGTAAAGGCACTTGCACAGAGATATGTGTGTATATATATATTTGCATATATATCTGTGTTATATTTGCGTGTACACGTATAAAATATATTAAAATATACATTAAATGTATATATATCTCCATCCTAGTCTAATGGTTTAGTATTAGGTCGTCCTGTGAAGAGCAGGGAGTTGGACTTGATGATCCTTATGGATCCTTTCCAACTCGACATATTCCATGAAATACATAAATACACAGGTATCTAGAGAGAGATATATATAAATATATCTATGGAAGTGTGTGTCGAAAAACACCGCGCTGACTCCAGTCGGCGGGTCCACCTATCACTCTTCATCACTTTGGGATATCAAAGCAAATCGTACCACTGTTCAATAAACAGTGACTTGAGACCTTCACTTTGTTGTGTACATTAGCTCCTACCATTATCTCTTAAAAGCTTAATTATTTGCAAACAATTGATCAAGATGGGAACCGGAGAAAAGAGACGCCGGACCACCAGGAGAGCTGCGATGCATTAGGAGAGCAAACAGAATTACCTTTAGGTCTTATAATCAGAATTAACGATTGGGACCGTACGCGGGGCAGCGCGAGAAGCTGTAACGCTCTTGCTGGAGTGTTTTCCATTTGATCTGCATTAACACCTCGAGTGAAAGCCATAAAACGGTGATTACAGATGGGAAGGCTGACCCTCCTTCCCAGAACCAGCCCGGCTTGTGGATACTGGAAGACTGCAGACAGGTTTTCTTGCCAAAGCCAGAGGAAAAAGGCAAATCCAAGGCGGGGCAAGAAAAAATAAATAGGAAGCAGGCAGGTTTAAAAAAAAAAAAAAAAGGCATTTGAAAGAATAAGGTGGAGAACAGATAAGGACTCCGAAATTTGGCTGCGGTATTTTCCAATCGCGCCCGCTGCTGCTGCAGCACTACAGAACAGCATCCCCCGAACGGTACGAGCCCTAGTGCTTTTTCCCTTCCCATAAATCGAGAGCTGAAATGCGGATTGTTTGGCACCATTAATGTGTTTTTGAGGCTCTGTGGTATTACTTTTAATAATGACTTCGTACCGAAAGCGATTGCTTAATAACACCATCAAAGGCTGCATGCAAATGAAAATTATCCCTGGGGGATTTGCCCAGGGTAATAGGAACAGTTAAGGAACATTTGAAAAGGTAAAAATAACTATGCAAAATATGAGTCAGAGACGTCGTTTTAGCAGTAACAAAGAAATCAAAGTGACAGAGAGAAAAATGTAACTTTCCATCATATTCTCTCGTCACTGTTTTATGAATGGTATTTAGAGAGCAGCAGTCTTAATAAAAGCCCTTTTTTTTTTAATGCAGCCGAGATCATTTTTAGCAAAACAAACAGTAAGACTGGTTTTTTTATTATTATTATTTATTTTTGTTTTATTTTACCACCTTTGACTACAGCCGGTGGGTAAAGCCT